TCGTACTAATCCGTTTCCTTTCAGGTTTATATTAACAATAATATATTCTGTTTTAGCTTCTAGGTTTCTCAAGATTCTCAAATTTCCTTAAAACTTTATTTGAAACACATCGATGGACGACGTGGGATGCGTGCGTTAGATCTAAGTAGACCTAAGTAGTCATAAGATAGATGTCTAGACTAAGTTTCATGTGCGTGCTGCCTGTACAAAGGTAAGCTACCTAACTTGGAGCGAATATGTACATTTCATATCTTTCCTCTCTTATCCCCCTCGTTTACCAAATAGAACATAATTGTTCTCGCGATAATCGCGATTATTCTTAAGTACCGACTAGCCTCGCGACGTACTCTCGTATACTTTATAACTTCGTGTTTCGTAAGTCATCCAAACGACTCGTTCCGACACTCACCCTCGCCACTGCCACCCTTGTCACGCATCGGTTCTAGGGTGGTCGGCGGGCTGGCACTCATCTGGGTCAATCCGAGGGTCTGTCGGCCCTAGTCGTCCTGGGCACCAGCGCGTGCACGACCGGGGTATGGGTCCTGTAGCCGTGACACTGCATATGGGCCTGCGGTCAGACCCCATGGGATGATTAAGTTCTCCCCCATGTGGCAGGGGCCTGCGTGACCGGCTACAGGACCTCGCTAGGGACCCTCGGCTTGATTTTGGATGTTTCGTTGGTTCGTCGACCATTCTCGCTCGCGAGTAAGTCATGGCAGGGTCTGTGGTGGCTGGGCGAGCTAGGTTCGAGTCCGGAGGGTGCCGAGGCATGAAGTTGTCTTGTACACGAGAGTACGTCTCGTAGGCTAGTCGGTCTTTCGAATAATCGCGATCTCGTTCGGGCGCGTCGCGATTTTTCACTTGCTCGCGTTTTCCATATTTGACTCCCAAATTTTTTGGGAACTTAGAAATATTAGAGTCTGTTAAAATAAAATATCGTAGCGTTGCGACAGTAGAGTTTTAGTATACCGAATCGAAATCCCTTTGCAAGACACGAAATAAGATAAAGTGTCAGTAGAGTCACTTTAACTTAATTCGCTCCAAGTTAGATTAGATATCTTTGATACGGATAGTACCAGTAGGTTGCGTCACTAGGACGCATGTCTGGGTCTCGATGCGTAGCCACCTCCTCGTGGTGAGACCTGGTAATTGGTATCGTTTCCCAAATAACAGTTTTTGGGAAACGATACCAAGCTAAGAGCTATGCACAAAGTTAAAGATATGTCTTATCTCTTGTGAATTTTCAATGTTCTCTTCGGACTTTGAAAATTAAGAGTGGGCAATATCTGTTAAAGTAGAATGCGAAGAAAGAAGAATAAACTAAGAGAAGTAAGGTAAGTAAGGTAAGTATGTTAAAAAAAAATAATTAAAATCTCCTGCAACAAGTAAACTATGTATAGTATATATATTCACGCAAACATTGCGTAATTTGACTCTATAGAATTCATAGGTAAGGTGTTATTTGTTAGAATCGACCAACGAGCAACCTCCTATCATGTCATGTATTCCTAATACAAAGTCACGAAATCGGTCGAAAATTTTTCGTAGAGGCCGCAAAAGCACTGTCCTAGAATTCTTAGAAATGACGTGATTTCTTGGAACTGTCTCGGTGAGCGACCTCCTGTTATGTCATGTATTCCTAATACAAAGTCGTGAAATCGGTCGAAAATTTCTCGCAAAGGCCGCAAAAGCGTTGTCCGAGAATTCTTAGAAATGACGTAATTTCGTGGAACTGTCTCGGTGAGCGACCTCCTGTCATGTCATATATTCCTAATACAAAGTCGTGAAATCGGTCGAAAATTTTTCGCAGAGGCCGCGAAAGCATTGTCCGAGAATTCTTAGAAATGACGTAATTTCTTGGAACTGTCTCGGTGAGCGACCTCCTATCATGTCATGTATTCCTAATACAAAGTCGTGAGATCGGCCAGAAATTTTTCTTCAAGGCGGGAAAAATATCGTCCACGGTGGCGGGAAAAGTATTGACCAGTGACGGGAAAAGTATTGACCAATGGCGGGAAAAGTATTGACCGGTGGCGGGAAAAGTATTGACCAATTGCGGGAAAAGTATTGACCGGTGGCGGGAAAAGTATTGTCCATGTTGGCGGGAAAAGTATTGACCGGTGGCGGGAAAAGTATTGTCCATGTTGGCGGGAAAAGTATTGACCAGTAGCGGGAAAAGTATTGTCCATGTTGGCGGCAAAAGTATTGTCCCGAGGCGGGAAAAATATTGTCCATGTTGGCGGCAAAGGTATTGTCCACGAAATTCTTGGAAATGACGTCATTTCTCGGAACTGTCTCGACGATAGACCTCTTGCCATATTATGTTCTCCTGACACAAAGTCGTGAAATTCGCCGAAAATTTTTCACACCCGCGACGAAAGTATTGTCCGCTGAGTTCTTGGAAATGACGTCATTTCTCGGAACTGTCTCGACGCTAGACCTCTTGCCATATTATGTTCTCCTGATACAAAATCGTGAAGTTGGCCGAAAGTTTTTCACACTCGCTACGAAAGTATTGTCCGCTGAGTTCTCGGAACTGTCTCGACGAGAGACCTCCTGTCATATTATGTTCTCCTGATACAAAATCGCGAAAGTGACCGAATATTTTTCTCACTGGCGCCAAAAGTATTGTCCACGGAATTCTTGGAAATGACGTCATTTCTAAGAACTGTCTCGACGATGTACCTCCTCTCATGTTATGTTCTCCTGATACAAAGTCTCAAATTTGACAGGGTGATTTTTACAAACTCTGTGTACTTTATATCCACAGAATTCTTCTCTCATCGAGCCAGCTCTTTTAATGTTATTTTCGCTGAATCTAATGTCATGCATTTTGTAAGTGTAGATTAACTCTTAATATTAGTATTTATTTAGTTACGTTATGTACTTACCTTATGTATACTTACCTTGTGTTCCTTACTGCTACTGTAGAAGTACTAGAGGATGAAATTAAAGTATATGAAATATCTGTTTGAATTTTTTTTGCAGGGGATCATTTTAAAACACCGTTCATATTTTTTTCAAGACTTTATTTAATAATCTTACTCCTCAAAATACGGTATCATACATGTTTAATACGACGTACATACAATTTAATAATACTTTACAGCAATACTTTGTCGAAAATTCAAATGAAACTTTTCGTCGCCTCGCGAATTAAACTCAGAACGATTGATTACCTCCTAATTTCCATCGATCCATGCAAATTTTCATTCATCGATTCCTAAAAAATAAGCGACACGAAAATTATCGATTCAATCATTTCGCTGGACTCGAAAAATAGATTCAAATAAAATTAAAATAATAATCGCGAAGCTAGGAACTACCAATTATTTACACTATTAAATACACTTTTTGGTCGCACTGTATATGATAAAATAATCGACTCTTAAAACAAGAACCCGAAAACCGACGATAATAGAAGCGAATATTTACAATGTTTAATTAACTAACTATCAGGTTAATTTAATCTATACAAAATAATTAAGATTTACAATTATTACAAGAACGGAAACGGTCGCGATCCTTCTTCTGAAGCAGTCGCCCGCAAACTGCCTCTGACGATCACTATATCGTTTCTCGTTTCGTTTCGACGCGACCTTAGAGAACAATCACTGGATCTGTTTGTCCCTAAGGAACTTCGTCGAAGGAATTTAACATTCTACTAATATTTACATGACGAGAATAATTCGTTAAATATGTAAATTTCATTTTTTCGCCTAATTTTTCGCATAATTGTATCATTAACAGGCACATTTCTCTGTCATCGTTAATTTTTACACGACGAGAGTACTTCGTTAAATGTCTAAATTTAATTTTCTCGCCTAATTTTTCGCATAATCGTATCATTAACAGGCACATTTCTTTCTCATTCATTTTCCTTTCTATTACAACGTTTGAAATATTTTAATTTACGATATTTTACGCAATTGTGGATACGCTATGGCTATTACAATCATCTGTGTTGTGCAAATATCCAAATTTCCATTGCGAATAATTATTCGAATAAATAATTACTTTCTCGCCATTTTATTGAGCTTCCATTCATCAGAGGTTTCGAATTTTGTTGCGAAAATTGCCTTAATCTCCCTTCGTTTCAATTTTCCTACTAAAATTAACAATTAAATAGTACCTACTATGTACAACAAAAGAAAATCCTTTTGCAATTCATGCAGTGATTTAATTAACCTGTACAATTATTTACAAACATGGTAGAACCTCGATTCGTTTAAACATTTAATCAGGCACTTGCAAATATCTTGTTCCTTCGAAACTGACGATCAACTGCATTTACAAAGTCCCATACAAGGATTCCTCCAGTAATAACTGCAATCCTTCATCTTCTACCTAATCGTTTACCCATTTGACAAAGTTGAATTATTTAAAAAACAATAACTTATCATTAAATAATCCAAAAATTACCTAAACACGTCTACTTTATCTCTCTGATACCAATCTATACCCAATTGTAGTGCCCATAGGAGAGTTAAGTTATTCAAACAACTATAATTCATCGTTAAACACCCAAAAATTGCCTAGGCACTTCTGCTTCATCCCCTGATACCAATCCATATCCAATCGTAGCATGTACCCAATATAACCTAATTGTTTACAGAGTTAAAGATTGTTGACAGAGTTAAATTATTCAAACAACAATAGACATTCTAAAAATTGCCTAGACACATCTGTTCCCTTCCTCTCATACCAATCAACATCTATACATATATCAGCCTTCGACAATTCTATCAACCTAACCTTACTACTACTGAAGGAATCTCCATACTACATCATTACAAAATATCCACTCACATTCACGCATTATCCAACAGTCTCCAACGCTTTTACTCTACTGAGCCTCTCAAAAGATCTCGACTCCTCTAATCATCTCGCTCCATTCATCACTCAATCATGTTCTCACACGTCACTCAACAGTCTCAGACAGCTCTCCGTCACGCCAAAGATCTTCCAAGATTCCCTGGATCCTCTTCAACCGAGGTTCCTCAGTACCAGCTGTAGAACGGTTGATGGGGAGCAGGTCTAGGCGGTTGTTGGAATCCCTGGGCGCCATAGTGGCTGGCGAAGGCTTGATGGGGATGTGCCGTGTGCGCGTGTGGTTGCTGAAGACCAGTCGGTGGACTGGGGAGACCGACTCTTCCTGCAGCAGAGATGGGCAGGTTCCAGGACGGCGAGGTGCTCCCCTGGCTGCCTTGCTGTTGCTGCTGCTGCTGCTGCTGGACAGGTGACACCGAGCTGATGGGCAGATCCGACGAGGTGAGCTGGTCCGACGCCGGGTTCGAGCTGCCTGAGTTTGGGCCCATCATGGTGACCAGGGAGTTTGGGGTCGGTGGGAGCTGGTGGCCACTGGCCTGCTGGTAGGTCGAGGACGCGGCCACCGGGGACACTTGGTGGCTCATGTGAGTGGTGCTGGTGGACGATGTCGGTGGCAGCAGGGAACTGGGGTAGGTCACTGACGCCGGAAGACCGTAGGTCGGCGTGGACCCGACCGATGAGGGCAGACGACTGGAATCTGACGTCAGCTGGTGGGACATCGTGCCGTGGTGCGAGGAGTACAGCTCTGGAACTAAAGGCAACGAAGATTAGCGAATTGGGTGGTGACGAGGAGGTAAAGACAGGTTCTGGGTAATTGAGGGGTAGGTGGAAGAGGGGAGAGTGATATTTTGGGTGTCTCGAGTCTTTAGATATAATTTGCGTGAATTGCAATGGCGTGAAATGAAATTTAAATTGCTGGTGGATTTATAGCGACGAGTCTATGCTACTGTGATTATTTTTTATTATGTGGTTGTACAATTTATCGTAATTTTGTAATGTGAAATTGTTGGTATTTAATTTGTTTCCTAGTTTATGCAGAATTCACTGTACTAGAGGAGTCGTGTGTATTGGTACGAGCATGTAAGAAATACCTATATGAATCATTAGACAAGGTGTCATCGGAATAATGTCAAAATGATAGGAAAAAATTATGTAACAATAATACAGATGAATAAAAATGTAAGTATTTTCTAAAAATATTTTTCTCGATTAAAATTTATAATTATTTCAAGGTTCTTGATGAGCAAAAATTATTATTTTGTACCTTAGGAAGATCATGCAATAGCAACAATAATAATAAGATAGAGAAATAGGAACAATAATATTTAGAAAAAATATTTTTCTCGGGAAATATTTATCATTTTTAGAGACTCCTGATTTTGTATTCCGTGATAAAAATTGAACGACAAATTGGACTCGACATTGAATTAATGTAGGGTTAAATTTTTAATTAAGAGAAGATTTGTAGGAGTAGATCTAACTCGCGATTCGTCGTTAACTTGCTTCGAGATCCTTGGCACTCCTTAACGAGTTATTATGCTCCTATCAGATTGTATCTGGTGCAATTAAAATTGATCAAACGAAGTTAATTTCGCTGCTGCGAAAAATAAATCTCGTATCTTCCCTGCCAAAATGTTCCATTGGCAGCAAGAACGCTGTAATTTCCTCGGCTTTCGTGGCTTAGCTCCTCCGTTAATTACTCTAGCCGAACTTTTTCCAACGCGAGCAACGTTTTTGCGCTAACGTGAGATGCACTCCGTGTCTCGAATCGCATCTGTGCGTCATTAGGAATCTAATGAACCCAGCCACCGTGTACATTACATAAGTACGTCATTAGGTACTCTTATAAAGCACCTACCACTTTGCCATCTTTGCAAAATAAACTACGCACTGTGTCCGGACTTTGCAACCCTAATCGAGCTACCGTTAATATCAACAACAAGCTTGAACCTTTGCAGAAAAATCTCTCGTTTCGTTTCTTGTCTGCTAAAGTATCAAAAGGCTCGAAAGATTCCACTACTAGGGGTGTGCAGGAGACCGAAAATGTCAGGTCGAGTTGAGGTGGATTGAGAATTTTTCTCAGGATCGAGAAGGGATCGTGAAAATATTCGAGATACCAAAAATATCGAATCGGGATGGAATATAAATTTTTCTAAGTGCGTGCGAAATTCTGAAAATATTCGAGATACCAAAAATATCAAATCGGGGTGGAATAGAAATTTTTCGGAATCTGGGCGAAATTCTGAAAATGTTCCAGATTCTGCAAATATCAAATTGGGATGGAATAGAAATTTTTCTAAGTGCGTGCGAAATTCTGAAAATATTCGAGATACCAAAAATATCAAATCGGGGTGGAAAAGAAATTTTTCGGAATCCGTGCGAAATTCTGAAAATGTTCGAGATTCTGCAAATATCAAATTGGGATGGAATAGAAATTTTTCTAAGTGTGTGCGAAATTCTGAAAATATTCGAGATACCAAAAATATCATGTCGGGATGGAATCGAAATTTGTCTGAGTCGGGGAAAAATTCTGGAAATATTCGAGATACCAAGAATATAGGTTTGAAAGGAATAGAAATTTTTCCTTGGGTCGAGACGAAATTTTGAAAATATTCGAGATCCAAAAAATATCGAATTTAACGGAATATAAACTTTTTTCTGGGTTGAGACTAAATTCTGAAAATATTCAAATACCAAATATATATTGGTACGTCATGGAATAGAAATTTTCCTCGGAATCAGGAGGGAAACCTATCACAAAATCCTAAAAATGTCGGAGATACCGAAAATATTAAAACAGGATAGGACGAGAACTTTTCTTCGAATTGAAACTAAATCCTAAAAATATTTAATATTCCAAAAATGTCTGATTTAGAATTTTTTTCAGGAAAGCATATCTCTAAAATATCGGAGATCCGAAAAATATTAGGAAATCTCGAAAATATCCTAGATCCCAAAACTATCAGTACATGTCGAATATATCCTAGATCCCAAAAATATTAGAAAGTCTGGAATATATCCTAGATCCCAAAAACATCAGAAAATCTGTAAATTATCCGAAATCCCAAAAATATCTCTAACTCTCGAAAATATCCAAGATCCCAAAAATATAAAAAAATCTCAAAAATACCCGATATGCCAAAAAAGTCCAAGGTCTCAGAATATTTTCAAAAATCCCACCCCATATATCTCCTACTATTCGATCCACCCTACCACCCTTTCCTCGGGAGAAATGAAAAGAATTATACGAGAAATCGTCTCACCTTGACTGGACGAGAAGGTGGTGTCTGGCAAGGTTTGTCCATGAGGGTGTGGATGAGGATGACTCGGTGGAACGGCTGTCGCTGCGTGCGGATGAGGCGGTGCCGGGGGATGAAGAACGTAAGAAGCTGCAGGATATGCCACGGAGCTGACGTAACCACCGGAAGTGGTAGAGGACAACTGCTTCCTGAGCCTGGCTCTTCGGTTGCTGAACCACACTTGGATTCTAGCCTCGGTTAGCTTCGTCCTCTGCGCCAGTTCTTCCCTGGTATAAATGTCAGGGTACTGAGTCCTCTCGAAAGCTCGTTCCAATTCGTCTAACTGATGGGCAGTGAATGTCGTTCTGCTCCTGCGTTGCTTCCTCTTCAGAGGAATCCCTGGTTCGCTCTCGCAGTCGGATCCGGAACTGGTCTTCCCTGGAAAACGAAATTTTCTTCGTCAGATTTTCATTCCAATCCTAGATTCACTTTCATTTTGGTGAAAATTAATGAATTCCTTTCGACATTGGGAAAACAATTAGCATACAACTTTGTCGATCCTACTAGAAAATATAAAAGCAAAGTCTAACTTCTCAATTAAAGATCCAACTCGGGGTTTCTTAATTACTGTGAAGAAAATGGGAACTAATTGATTACACGAACGTCATTAACGCTAACGCTACTAATTTTCAATGGGTATATGAACATAGGGGGCATAGATAATAGTAATTTCACGATGAAGATAAGTAAATGTATTAATTACAGTTCTATCTCGACACGAGTCAACTCTGATTTTTGGAAAAATAGTTATATGCTTCTGGTAATTGCGAAAAAGAAAATTCCGAGACCAGTCATTTCAATTGATAGTTCTATTGTTGAGTAAATACATACCGTTTCAATTTAAACACGAATTTCAATTCAAACACGAACGATCCTCGCGCGAGCATCGATTAAAAATGTAACGGGTGCGGTAAATGTAATGATAAATGCAAAGAGTGTGGTACGAAGGAATACATGTGGAAACCTCGAAAGCGTCTTGTTTTGAAGAAGGTTCACTTCACACTGTGGTCTCTGCTCGACTGCTCGAGCGTCTCTACCGATGATTCGTCGCTCGCGAAGGCTTCGGCCGCCCGCTGCTCTGTGTTTATACACAGTGTCCTAGTAACGGATATACAATCGGGAATGAGGTGTTTTCTACGCGCAGAAACAAGTCGAAGAAAATAATAAAATTTTTCTATTCGAAGTTTCGGTTTCGAGAAAATCGACTTTGAATATCCACCGACTGCGCGCGCACCTAGCTATGACTTAAATGGATAAATCATCGGTACGTCAGCATCGATGATGGTGACAACCAAGAAGGGGATGATTCCACGTGAAAGAACAAATCGAAAATAAAGAATATACCGATTTACCATTCCCCTTAGTTAAAGTTAAATATATCCTAGAGCGATCGCGATCATTTCCTCAGCGACCGATGAGGCCCCTGTATGGGGCCCGTCTGTCAGCCACCGGCAAGATAGGTTCCCCGGATATTTTCTCGCAAAAATGACGTTAATTCTTACTGCTATGGTGATCGAAGAATTTCAATAACGAGAGAGGGTACAAGAAACGAATGGCAATAAATCGTAAGTCATGAACCTCGTTCAGGATGCAATTAATTTTCCATAGAAAATAGGGAATAATTAAAGGAACGGAAGAGGAGGATTTCTATCGTAGAATTTCCTGTTTCTTTGGAGAAGAGCTGCGAAGAATAACGGGGTGTAAGTACGAGAATAAGGTAGACGAATGACGGGGTCGCGTCTAGTAATTATTAATTCCCCAGTGCACGTGTCACCTGCTCAACCACGTATCCGCAGGTGAATGCACGTCCTGGTTTACGGTTTGTTTTGCCGAGCGAGAGTTCAAAAGGAGCCGCACTCCGATTCTCCGTTCTACCGCTTGTTTCACACTCGATTTCACCATCCACTCGATCCCTGTTATATACCTGCCACTCTGTACAAGGTGTCGTATAGTACAAAATTTCGCCGAGAAAGGGTGGATTTCGGATGGGAGTAAACGAGGCTCCCGTAAACGCGAATTCACAGGGTCGTTGGAATCACGCGAAATTACTATTTCCAAACTTATTTTTGGAAAAATTAAAACAATCTTTCCCAAAATTATTTTTGGAAACACGAATATACATTGTGGAGAAATATTTACAATTTTTAACCGAAGACCAATGTTTTCTATTGAAATTACTCGTTGCGTGAATTAAAATATATATCGGGTGTTTCAAAAATTAATACAACCCTTTACAAAATTAATTTTGGAAACACGAATATACATTGTTCAGCAATATTCACAATTTTTAATCGAAAACCAATGTTTTCTGTCAAAATTAAATTAATGAATTTTTAATTAGTTAGTTAATTAATTTTCGAAACACGAATATACATTGTTGAGCAATATTCACAATTTTTAATCGAAAACCAATGTTTTTTGTTGAAATTAAATTAATGAATTTTTAATTTAATTAATTAATTAATTTTTGGAAACACGAGTATACATTGTTGAGCAATATTCACATTTTTTAATCGAAAACCAATGTTTTCAGTCGAAATTAAATTAATGAATTTTTAATTTAATTAATTCATTCATTTTTGGAAACACGAGTATACATTGTTGAGCTATATTTACAATTTTTAATCGAAGACCAATGTTTGCTATCGAAATTACTCGTTGCGTGAATTAAAATATATATCGGGTGTCCTAAAATTAAAGACCTGTGTTTTCTATATTGGTTCTAGATATTCTCTATTTTTAGCCAACGTCGATCGTTTTATTCCCATAATCTAAATCACCGATCATCCATGACCATCATGATCTCGTGACGGAAAAAATTTCCAGCAGAAATTCGCAACTCGCGATCTAACCTTCTCTCGTGACAATCTCTCGCGAGACTCCGCAGTAAACCGGAATGAAATAAAGGGAATAAATATAAAAATCGTGCCGAAGGTTACCGAATCGCGATATTCCTGTGAAGCAATCGGCGATTTGTCAGCGTTAACAGCGGTGCATTAAGGAGCGTTAATAGTACTCGGAGACAAAGATGTTTCGAGCATGAAATTATTAACGTCGATCGGAGAATTAAATAGACCGCGAGCACGAGCGAGTGCAAGAAGTATGATTTACTGCAAGGACACCGGGCGACCGCAAGAAAAGTGACGAGTGATGACTGATGACTGATGACAGTAGAAAAACGCGCTCCGAGATCCTTTCCCTTCGATCGGCGAAGGAAACGCTGATAACAAGGATACCAGTCGTTCGTGAGCACCAAGTGCTTCCACTCGTTGTTATTCCGTGTTAATAAATGTTAATAAACGTTGATAAATTGATATACTTTCGACGGTATACACGTTGAAGCGAATTATTATTTAACTTCTTGTAGACTGCTCGTTCCGGGCCTCGTAAAATGCCGATTAAACGCGTTATCGCCGATTCTATTGTTCAGCACGCGTTTTACTGCACGGACATTTACTTTCACCTCGAATACGCTGACTTTTTACGGAACAAATTGCACCGAGCAGCAAATTGCGACGGAATGAATCTTTCCAACGCTGTCCATGTCTTTCCAACGGAATTATTTCACCATTTCCCTCCGCGGTGTTCACTCGCCACCATTTGCCATCGGTGAATCAATCACCTTCGAGTCTCACCAACCCTTTCGATAATTATGACACTATAAGGAGTGAAAACACGATTTTTCTAATATGAGCTTATTTTGTTCGGGTTCTTTGATGAAATAGTCTTCCCGTGTCACCAAAATTTGGGGTTCTTTTCGCGTCTACAGCTGTCAAGGATTGTTACGAATACAGGAAATGTTAAGGGGTTCTGCAACTATCTGGATATGAAATTTGGTAATTATATAATTAATAATCGTGAAATCAATTTTAATATTATAACGTTTCTAATGACAGCAATGGTTCTTTAGATACCTAAAATTCTGACTGAATATAGGTTAATAAAGAATCGTCTACAGCTGCTATGGATTGTTATGAATACAGTAAAATATAGAAGGGTCCTGCAACTATCTCGATATGAAATTTTGTAATTATATAATTAATAATCGTGGAGTCAATTTTAATATTAAGACGTTTCTACTGATAACAATGGTTTTCTAGATAACTAAAATTCTGATGAAATACAGGCTAATGAAAAAGTGTTGTCTACAACTGCTAAGAATTGTTACGAATATAGGAAGTGACGAGGGGCTCTGCAGCTACCTCGATATGAAACTTGGTAATTATATAATTAATATTCATTGTGCTAATTTTAATATTACAACATTTCTACTGACAACAGGGGTTCTCTAAACAATTAAAATTAATATGAAATACAGATTAATAAAGAAGAAGAAGAATTATTCGCTATGATCAATGTCCTCGATCAAAAATTCGTCACTTCTATTCTGGAAGCTGTCAAAAATTGTCACGAGAAGTCACCTCTGCTTCCATTTCCGATATTTCTCCATATATAATTTCCCAATCCAGATAACATACGAATTATCTTCGTGTATGACACTTAACGAGGTCTTTTCAATTTCCCGTGCTCCAATATGTCGCCGATAGGATCTACTACCATATTTTATAGTTATGACCGTAAGAAATACGCAGAAATAAGAGAATCGAGCCGAGTTACAACCAGAAAATGATGCTGGTGGTTCAAAATCGACAATTATCTTCCTCCTCGCGACGGTCTCTCCTCTCTCTCTTTCTCTCTCGTTCTCTCCCGTCGACGGGGTCCCGGCATTCTCGGGAGCGGCTGAAAAACGAAGGTCCACGGGAGTACTCGGTCGGTCGGTCGCATTTTTAGATTATCGTAGATTCATCATCGCGGGCCGCGAAAGCAGAGACGGATGACACGCTTGTAAAAAGGAACGAGGCTGTTTCTTCCGGCGAGCGGGCCGAGCGTCTTGAAATTGTCGACTGGCTTTACACGGGCCGCGACTAATCGGCCGACGACGCCTGACGCCGGGACGCCCCGCGTTCATGCCCATTCGACACGGACTCTATTCCCGGACGGACCGCTTCTTCCCCTTTCCTTTCTTGCGTCGCGTCGGCTCGTTTCTCCCGTTCCGCGGGCTTCCGTCCCGCTCTCCGCCCTCTTTCGTTCCCTCCCTTTTATTTTTCACCCTTTTCCCAATCGTCTCGGACAGGGTGGGTGACAGGGCCCTAGCGAGGCGACCGGTATTTCGAATTATTCGTCGATCCGTACCTTTTTATTTTAAATCTGAATTTTTACACCCAAATGTGTCCCAATTGAGCTGTAGTGATTGTTGGAATTGGAAATTTTGTGGGACATTGTGGAGTTCGAGTCAAGAAGAAATCTTGCGCTCTGTATTCTCTTTCGTTCCTTCCTTTTTATTATTTTTCACCCTTTCCCCAATCGTATCGGACAGG